CGCGCTTGAGGCGCCGCAGAACTTCCCGACGTTGCTTGAAGCGCCTCCACCATAGACTTTGCATGTAAACCTGCTGCTCCTGACGCTGAAATCGCGTTTGGTGTGAACGCACCATAAGCCCTCATCCTGCCAGCTTGATCCATTTCCCACTGCTCTTGTTAAATCCTTCCTCCCGTCTCTGCTCCCTATCATCACCACAATTATCCACTCCTCGTTGACCTCTGGTACTGTTTCCACAGCTTTTAAATCTGCAGCCATTACCCCCCATCATCAAGAAACCTGGTCTCGACCCAAGTAACATCAGTAACCTTCGTCCAATCTCTAACCTGCCCTTCATCCCCAAGATTCTGGAAAAAGTTGTTGCGAGTCAACTCCACTCTCACCTTTTCCAACAATAACCTTTATGAGGAGTTTCAATCTGGTTTTCGCCCCCACCACAGCGCTAAAACCGCCCTAGAAAAAATCACCAATGATCTTCTCCTTGCTGCCGACTCTGGTCTCCTGTCCATCCTCATCCTCTTTGACCTAAGTGCTGCWTTTGATACKATCTCTCATTCAATTCTCCTCAACAGACTCACATGCATTGGCATCTCAGGTACTGTGTTTAACTGGTTCAAATCTTATCTTTCTGACCGCACTCAATTCATCCAGATCAAATCCCTCCACTCTGAGTCATCCTCCGTCTCCACTGGCATGCCCCAAGGCTCTGTACTTGGACCCCTTTTCATCATTACTTACCTCCTTCCTCTTGGTTACATTTTCCACAAGTTTCCATTGTTATGCCGATGACACTCAGCTCTACCTGTCAACCAAGCCAAACTCCACACACCCTCCCTCCATCCTCTCTGACTGTCTCGCTGAACTCAGTCACTGGTTTTCAGACAATTTCCTTCAGCTGAACAGCGATAAAACAGACATCATCGTTGTCGGCACTAAAATTCCATCTCAAAATCTAATAATCTCCTCATCCCTATCAACAACTCTCTGCTAACCCCCTCCCCTCAGGTCAAGAGTCTTGGTGCTTTGAAAACACATCTCTTAAGATTAGCATATCCATCTTAGCTTCATTTGTAATCCATGCTCTGTAACACATGCCAGCTTGTCTTTGTATTTTCACACATTCTCCAATGATGTGACCAACGCTGTAAGTGTCCTTGGGTGTCCTGAAAGG